ATTTGCTCACGTATGCTCTTTTTTTTTTTTTTTTTTTAAATGTAAGTAGAATTTGGACCACATTTATAAGACCAGATTTTGCCCAGTGCAGGCTAGCCATGGTACATTCTTAATGGTGGTTTAATGTCAATCTGAGAAAGGTTACCCAGACTTCACGCTAGCAAGCAAAAAAGCGACAGGCAACCACTCATTAAATAAATACGAATGCCACATGAAGCTAAAATTTCAACGACAGCAGCAAAATGATGGCATTTTATGCAAATTAGGTATGACATAGTACAAAGACGAATCCAACTGTGATTTCACGTTATCTTGTTGTCTATGACCTCTCATTCAATGTGGAACGTGAAGAAGGAAGTAGCAGTGATTGCTGGTGTCTCTGAAGAGTGTTTGTAGCTAGTAGAGCTATAGCTGATCTGCTAACAGCTAATATGAAGCCTGACATGTAACAAATTAAACAACCACCATATACAGTATAGGCATACGCTGGTGCCTCTGGTGAGAGTACTTATCTAGTACAGTTAGCTTGTGCTGCTAACCTGCTAACGAAGCTAATATGAAGCCTGGCATGTAACGCATGTCACGCTAACAATTTCACATTTCACTTCAAATTACACGCTAACAAATTCACATTTTTTTTCACTTTATTAAAATTTGAGAATACATTTTAAATTAGGTTATAGGTTTTGGCTACTAGGCTTTCTCACCAAAACTAAAAGTGCTGGATGGACACTACACCTCCTAGTCACATTAAAAGTAGTTTACATTTTTTAAAAAAAACGCCAATCACCCTCACAAACACTCGCATTTATATCACGTTCTCACATAACCTCAAAGATTTATAGCATAGCCATATCAGATGTGCATTGCAGATATCTCAAAAAAGAAGTTAAAGTCTTGAAGCATGGGGTCTTGTGGGAGGTAAACATAATGGGTGAATCAGGCGAACCAGGATCATCCTCCTCAGCTGCTCTGATGTTAGTTGAGAGCCAAGCTGTTTCAGGAAAATAACAAGGTTATTAGAAAATCTCAAATCTCATGTACAGTATTAATCAATTTAAATCAAGTAATAAGGAAGCTGAAAAATAACAGCTGGCCAAGCAGCTATCTTGATCAGCTCAGCATGTGTTTTGGCAGATGGTCAGACCAAAGTCTGTTTAGTACAGTTATTCTAAAAAAATTAAATAATAATCAATCAATAAAATTCCAATAAAGAAAAAATGATTTTTTTTTTCAAACCAGACTGTGTGCTCCTGTTTTTTTTTAACTCTTAGCCAAAATCTTTCTGTCCTCTTATACATCTTGAGAGTATTGGTCAATGTCATTGCAGTAGCATCTGAGAGACACTAGATGGTATAATTGCATTGGTCTAGCTCAGGATTTCTCAGCTCTAGTCCTGGAGTTTCACTGCTGTGCATGGCTTCAGGTTTCCCTGATCCAGTCTGCTGATCTTGATTAGGTGTGCTACAGTGGAGAGAAGTGTATTAGATCTGTATCACATCATCATGTCGTTTCCATTAACCCTTAAACCCCCCACTCGCATTCCTCTCTCCTGTACAGACAAATCCTATTAGTTTCACTGCAGTGACCGAATAATCCTAGGTACTGAGATTGAACATTGACAATATTAATTTGGGAGTTTAACAGGGAGTTATTGCTATTGCTGCTGTAAAGCTACTTTATGTGCAACAGTAATCTGATATACTGTACACAGTATCCTTCCACTGTGCTCATGTTGATGGTTGAGATACCCAGCGATCACATGCATCCTTGAAGATATATGAAGTCTATTCAATTCAGCATGCTTCAGTGGGACTCTGAAATTGGTGGGATTTAATGCAACATATTTTCACGCTGACAAATTTGTAACAATTCGCATGACTCAGTTTAAATAAACTTAGCCTTCATACCTTGTTGTATTACTTCATTCATATGAAATCAAAATAAATCCAATTGCATTGTCCTTGCTTGTTTGGTATTTTGTAAGATTGGTATTTTTTTTTATTTTTTTTATTTATTTAGTTTGTGGTCTTTCATCATGTGTGCCATAGTCCACAAGTGGGCTGTACTGGAACTGCAAAAGAGTCCCTTTTTTACTTTCTTTTTTTTTTTTTGTATTTTATTTTATTTTAACCTGACTATCTTGTGGGTCCCTGGAGGACTAGTGCTCAGGCCTCTGCGCTGTTGCTGCCATGGCCTGGGTTCAATTCCCAGCCAGGGAACCATGACAGTGTAATCCCAGTGTCAGTCCCAAGCCTGAATAAAATTGTGGAGGGTTGTGTCAGGAAAGGCATCTGACATTTAAAAAAAAAAAATAAAAAAATTATGCCACATCAAATATGAGGACCAATGATCCACTGTGGCAACCTCTAGCAAGAGGCAAAAAAAAAGAACAGCCTGACTATTTAGTCATCTATTTACATTATAATAATCAATGTACAATTATATTATATACAGTAGAACAAAAATGATTTTATTATCCAAATTCAAAATTAATTGAAATTTTTTATACAAAAAAAATATCATGAATCAATTAGATCAGAAAAGGTGGTGTCGCTACGTCACAGGGTCCACAGTTCCATCCTGACCTTGTGTTACTGTCTGTGTGGAGTTTTGGATAGGTTCCCCTCAGGTTCTCCGGTTTCCTCCCACCTCCCGAAAACAGGCCAGTAAGTGGATCGGCTACACTAAATTGCTCCTAGGTGTCAAAGAGTGTGTGAATGTGGGTGTGTTGTGCTCTGTGATGGAATGGCGTCCCATCCAGAGTGTATTCCCACCTTGCACCCAGTGTTCCCTGGATAGGCTCCGGATCCACCGAGACCCTGACCAGAATAAAGCAGTTATTAAAGACTGAATGTTGAGTACTATTGTACATGTAAGATCACAAAATTCACTGAAGATTTAATTGGGTAGTAGCAGTTAATCAGAAGTGTTTGTGAAGCCACATTGTAGTAATGTACACTGATTTTCTTTGATTATCAGTGTTCATTGTTTTGGTTGTTATTGTAATTGTACTTATAACCAAAAGATCTGTTTGTGGGCTGTTTAAAGGTTTGGGAACCTCTGACATAAATAGCATCCTCAATCTGAAAAACTACTCAACAATCATTGAATTGCCTGATTTGTAGTCTTGCACAAGCTTATTATTTGAGAATGCACGCAACTGCTATGGAAAGACAGTGTAACACACCCTTAAATGCATTCCAGAGTTACGTCACTTCCAAAAACCTCATTCATTTCGAGTCGAGTTTCCTGGAGCCTCTTGCAGGTGCTCCGTCATTGATTCAACACCTTCAAGTCACTTCCCAGGACCACAATGCTCCTTTCCTTCCTGCCTCTGTCCTTCAGGGCCTGATCTGAGATCAGACTTGCTTTTTAATCCTTATTTCACGCAGTTAGAGGTACACATGAAGGATGCTGATTGCAGACCAGTAGATTTTAGTTATGATCCGCTCGCCATGGAGTGGAGATTATGCAGACGAGGATGTGATGGGTAAACACAAGTCGGTCACCATGCATTCCTCTGTCATCCCTGTCTCATTTGTCCAATGGTGTTTATCCTCTGGGTTGTGTCACTGTAACTTCCAGAACCACTGCTGGCGCACACTTCAGAGCGCACAAAGCCAGCACCTTAGATATATTTATAGTGTTATTGGAACTCATCCGGCTGATACTGTACAAATGGAGTGTGACATTGTTTTTGCTCTTTTATTTATTTATTTTTTATTTGCCCAAAGGAATAAAAATCCCAGATTTACTCTGAGATATGACGATACGGATGTAACACAACACTGGAAACATTGGAAATTACTGGGGAAAAAAACGGAGATAGAAATCTAGAAAGAGGTCATTGAATTCGGGCTCTGACAGTTCCTCAGCCTCAGCTACATCACACGAGTTCATCATAAATCTCAACTATAGATTGTATTTTTAATCCCACACTCCCATTTTGTGTGCCTGCTGTGATATTTTCAAACAAACTTAGTTGGTTTTTTTTTTTATTTCTCAAAATATAAACAAAATAGTAGATTAACTTAAACTATGCAACCCTGAACAGGCAGTTACTAAGGATGAATGAATGAAGGCTGTGTTTGTCCCGCAAGCTT